TGAGGCGGGAGGATCACTTGAGCCCAGGAGTTTGAGGCTGCAGTGAGCTGTGATCACACCACTGCACTCCAGCCTGGGGGACAGAGCAAGACCCCACAAACAAGCAAAAAAGAATTAATTTCCATTATATTAATTTTTACATACCCAGAGTTTGACTATAAAAAAACAATCTCTTGTCCTCAAGTCCATGTCCAACCAAGGGAAGCCACATTTTCAAAGCTCACAGTTTAAAAGCTAAAGGGACTCAGGGAAAGAAGCTGACTTGCACAGACACTAAAGCCTGTCGTTGATTCCCTCATTTTAAAAGTTGCGTCTGCCATGGCTTTGCCACGAGCACGAGGACGGCAGGGGCCATGGGAGGCAGGGTCCCAGAGGGCATCCTGGCTTCACCTCGGCTGCTCTGCACTCCAGCTCTAGGCACAGAGGTCCTTAACGTTGTACTGGAAGAAATGGGAAATCGCATTGAGGACTTACAGAAGAATGTCACCGACTTAATGATACAAGCTGGCATTGAAAATTCTATTAAAGAACAAACGGTAAGGGCATTATTAGGAAATACGCCAACCTTTTACGTATCTTTTGATTGCTTTCACCTTGAAAAATACAATCCCATATTTGTTCACTGTAGGAATTACTGCCTTTGTGCTGCATGAAAACTGCCAGGAATAAATTTCCAAATGCTCTTTTTCTTTCTTCTCTTTCTTTCTTTTTGTGATGGAGTCTCGCTCGCTCTGCACTTTCATAGGATGCCTTTTGTCCATGGAGACGCTGAGAGCCATGACCACTTTACAGAAGCCACAGGGAGGACTGTGGGAGGCCAAACCCCGTCAGGGCTGTGGGCACTCTCACAGCTTCTGATGCTGCATGTAAACACACCACTAAAGAATGCTAGACCAGAGGCACGTTGAAAGCCGTTAGTAAAGACGATGTAGAAGAGAACAGCGCCCACGTAGAGCAGGTCCTCCCACCTGTGCCCACGCAGATGCTTTCCCAGGGACCCTGTGAATCTCCAGGTCAGAAAGCTGTGAGCCATGAAGTCACCCTGCACTTTAACTTTGGGGTGTGGTCTGTTCGCCTAGGCAGGGATGGCAGTGCTCTGATTCTGAGGGTGGACTGAAGTCCTCATCCCTTCTCTGCGTGAGCACAGAGCAGAGGCAATCTGCCCCAGACACCTAGTCAAGCCTCCTGCAGATACACTGGCATCTTCACCTTCGGAAGTTTATTCTGAAAGTCTTAAGGCAGTGTCAGTGGCCCCACACTCTATGCTTTTCTGTTCAGTACTGATTCATGCTGACATGTGTGGCTCTAGGTCAGTCGCTAACTGCCGCCTACCTGTCCTCTGATGATCCACTTTGTATTTCACTAAGTTTCCAAACAGTGCTGCGATATTCTGGTCTATTTCTTTGTATACATGTTGCCAGTTTCTCTAGGGAACTTGATTATTCTGTACCTATGGGCTTGTTGCCTGAGTTAGCTGCCACACGTAATTTCTGGACTTTGCCTGAAGCCATCCTGGGAAGACAGGAAACAGAAATCACTAGCTGCCCCAAGAACTAGTTAATGCAACTTGACTAAAGCACTACAGTGCCACAGACGAGGCATGGCTGGGCAGCCATGCAGGCCCACGCTTCAAATTCTTATCCTCTGCTACTGGCTGTAATCTGGGAAATCTAAGCTTTAGTTTTCTTCTCTGCAAAGTATCTACCTGGTAGGTGGTTGTAAGGATTTGAGAAAATTGCAAAGCACTTAGGTCAGGGCAAGGTAGACAGTAGGTACATAATGAGATAAACTTGAAATAGAGTCCAAATCATTAGGATTTCAACCGTATCGCAGTCACAAAGCACCAATGAAAAGGTTATTAAAATCAAGGGTGAACAAACGTACTACACCTGATATGTTATGGACTGAACGTTTCTGTCTCCCTGAATAGCTGAAGACCTAACTGCAGCATGTCTGTATTTGAGATGGGCGTCTACAGAAGTAATTAAGGTTACATGGGTCCTGAGAGTGGGGCCCTCATCCAACAGGATTTGTCTTTCTGAGAAGAGACGCCAGGGGCTTGCCTGCCATCCCCTTGCCTGCACCAGAGGTGGCGGCCATCGCAAGCCAAGGAACACCCTCCCCTGAAATCACACAGACTGGCACCTTGATCTGGGATTTCCAGACAAGAGAACTGTGAAAAGACAAGTTCCTGTCGTTTAAACCACCCAACCTGAAGTATTTTGTTATGGCAGTCCCAGGCAGAATATTACAATATGCAACACATTTACAATAAATCATGATAAACTTACAAATGTGGAATGTCATTGTTTTATCTTTTCTGCTAACAGCCGATAAAGCTGACACAAGACCTAAGTCATACACCATACACCAATGATGCAAATCAGTGGGTTTTGATAGAACTGTGCCAACCATTATCGCAATCTTAGGACACGTTTTCTTTTTATGCAAGCACATTTTCATTATGTCGAAAATGAAGCTGTGCCCACGAGCTGTCACCTCCCATTCTTCCTCCCTCCCAGTCTTAAGCAACCACTAATCTGTCTCTATGGATCAGCCTATTCTAGAAAAGCCGCATAAATGGAATCATACAATACAAAGCAACGGGCTTTTCTCTTAACCGAATGATTTCAATGTTCACCCATACTGTAGCATGTATCAGCACTTTATTTTTTATGACCAAATAATATTCCATTGTTTGGATGGGCATTTTAAACATTCCTCTGTTGATAGACACTTGGGTTTCCACATTTTGGCTTCTGTGTACAAGTTTCTATGTGGCCATATGCGTTCAATTCTCTTGGGTATGAAACTGCTGAGTCAAAGGGTAACACCATGTTTATGAGACAGGGTCTTGCTCGGCTGCCCACGCTGGAGTGCATTGGCACAACCATGGCTCACTGCAGCCTTGACCTCCTGAGCTTAAGTGATCCTCCTGCCTCAGCCTCCCAAGTAGTTGGGACCACAGGCACACACCACCGTGCCCAGCTAATTTTTTTTGTATTTTTTGTAGAGACAGGGTCTCACCAGGTTGCCCAGGCTGGTTGAGGACTCCTGGGCTCAAGCAATCTGCCTGCTTCAGCCTTCCAAAGTGCTGGGAGTACAGGCATGACACCTGTACCCGGTCCATGTTTAACTTTTCAATGACCTGCCTGCCTATGTTACCATTTTCCTACCAGGAGTGTGTGAGGGCTCTAACTTCTCTACATCCTTGCAAATGCTTGTCGTGACCTCCTTTTAAATCCAGCTGAACTCGTGGGTGTGAAGTGGCATCTCACTGTGGTTCTGGGATCTGCACTTCTTAAAAAGCAGTGATGCTGAGTGTCTGTTCGTGTGCGCACTGGCCATCTGTTCCACCTCTCTGGAGAAACATCAGGGGTGTAATACTGAGTGTCTACTCCACGCCAGGTTCTTGAGGTCACTTAGATGTTCTCCCTAGTCCCTCACTCTGATACGGTGTTACACTCTCCTACTTCATACATGGGAAAATCAGCACTAAGGAGATTAAACTGCAGATTTGTGTTTGAATTTTAAATCCATTTAAAAAGCATATACTCATTTGTATGTGTAAAAAATGTGCTTCATTCTGTAAGTACCTTCCTGTTTTCACAACAGCAATGGATCCACTGACAGCAGTAAGCCCTGTGCACCACTCCTGTGCCCAGCAAGCACCATGTGCTTCCCTGTGTTTACATCTGTGTGCAGGGCAGACACTCTTATCTGCCTTTACCAAGGAGAAAACGGAAGCTCAGAGAAGGTACCCTGCCTGAGGTCACTCGGTGGGCGCAGAGCCTGGGTCTGAGGTCAGAGGGCGCAGGGTGTGCTCAGGTGCCCCCCATCTCTGCCCTCTCTCACTTTCACTTCAAACTGTGAGTGTGCTGAGATGGGACATGAAGATCCCAACCAACCCCATCCACATTGCTAGGGTGAGGGGGACAAGAGAAACCTGAGGCTGTACATAAGGAAATTTTCTTTTTTCTTTTTTTTTTAAGACAGAGTCTTGTTCTGTTGTCCAGGCTGGAGTGCAGTGGTGTGACCTTGGCTCACTGCAACCTCTGCCTCCTAGGTTCAGGCGATTTTCCTGCCTCAGCCCCCTGAGAAACTGGGATTACAGGCATGCATCACCACGCTTGGTTAATTTTTGTATTTTTATTAGAGACGGGTTTCACTGTGTTGGTCAGGCTGGTCTCGAACTCCTGACTTTACAATCTGCCCGCCTTGGCCTCCCAAAGTGCTGGGATTACAGGCATGAGCTACTGTGCCCGGCCAATCAGGAAATTTTCTAACTATACGAACTGAAAACGCCATGGCTGCTACAGAAAATATGTTTACATCAAATACAATCCTGGGAAAAATAAAAAACATAGATGTCCTACTCCTTAACGGGAAGGCTCTAAACAACAGTTTATTGTACTGTATTTATAACCAAGTAAGAATAAGCCTTTGGATTCTGTCATGGGTTGAACTGTGTAACCCCAAAATTTATATATTGAAGTCCTAACCCCCAGCACTTCAGACTGTGACTTTTGTGGACACAAGATCCTTGCACATGTAATTTGTTAAGATGAGGACATGCTGGAGCAGGGCGGCCCCCAATCCAACACTAATGGTGTCCTGAGACCAGCACACACACAAGGACACCATGTGAACTGAAAGTGAAGGCAGAGATGGGGCGAAGCATCCACAAACCAAGGAACGGAAAAGATCACTGGCAGCCCCCAGAGCCAGGGAGAGGCCTCAGCAGATTCCCTCACAGCCTCAGAAGGAACCCACCCTGCGAAGCCCTGATCCTGGACCTCCAGCGGGCAAAGATGTGAAAGCATACATCTCTGTTGAGGCCACCCGGTTTGTGGTTTGCCATCACACACCCCCAGCAAACAAATCAAGTATGCAAAACACAAAGCCTCAATGGATAAACACCTTCATTTTACTCCAAGGATAAGAATTAACTTTGACTTGGAAAATTAGTCATCTATTCAAGTTTCCTAAGAACAAACAAGTAGGACGTGCTTGTTTATTTCAGTTAGTTAAGGCCTGGAATCAATTCCATCTCAGAGGTCCTCCAGCCCTGGAGCTCCAAAGGCTTTAAATAACTTAAAACATTTCCTCACAAAAAAGGCTGCACAACACTGACCACGCAGACCGAGGGTGCCTCAGTATCGGTACTTCGTGGAGTAGTCCTTGGGGGACACCACCAGGCCGCGGCCTTTGCGGGCCCCGCGGTACACCGTCTCGATGATGTCAACCATCTCCTGCTTGTCCTCCATGGCCCAGTTAATCTTGTTGTTGTTGCCTGTCCCCAGGTCGATCATGATGTGCTTGTTCCTGCAGAGAAACACGGACATCCATTCTCATGAAAACCTCTTTAAAATGTCTAAATGTGTTTGTAAAAATACAAAGCGTTGTCCACCATGCTTTTTCCTGCATTTTTCTGTATTTAGGACAAATATTCTAAGGGGAAATTAAAAGGTCAAAGTGACCAGGGAGACCCAGGCATCTCAGATCAACTTCCCCTTTTTCCTAAGACTGTAAACTTCCCCTTTTCATTCCTAAGACTGTAAACCAAAGTCCTTTTCATATGTAATTCCTGAGACTGTAAACCAAAGTCCTTTTCATGTGTAATTCCTGAGACTGTAAACTGAGACCCTTTTCATATGTAATTCCTGAGACTGTAAACCGAGACCCTTTTCATATGTTAAGCTATGAACCTAAGACTCTTCAACATGTAACATCTAAGGTATAAGCCTCCATAAAGAAGGAACCTTCCTTTGTTAGGGGAGCTTGGCTGTTAGGCAACTATGCCACCTTGCTCCCGGCCAAATAAACTCCTTCCTCCTGTATTCGGTGTCTGAGAGATCCATTTCCCGCGGCCGCTCCTGCTACAAAAGGATGGCACGCACAGTGGCTCATGCCTGTAATCCCAAAACTCTGGGAGGCTGAGGCAGGAGGATCGCTCGAGGCCTGGAGTCCCAGACCAACATGGATAACAAAATGAGACCCCATCTAATTTGCACTCATTCACCTGATAAAAACTAAGTTTTTCATGGTGCTCTTCTGAGCACTGACATAAATGCTATTAAAAGCCCTACAAGGCTGGGCGCGGTGCCTGTAATCCCAGCACTTTGGGAGGCCAAGGCGGGTGGATCACGAGGTCAAGAGATCGAGACCATCCTGGTCAATGAGGTGAAACCCCGTCTCTATAAAAATACAAAAATTAGCTGGGCATGGTGGCGCGTGCCTGTAGTCTCAGCTACTCGGGAGGCTGAGGCAGGAGAATTGCTTGACTCCAGGAGGCGGAGGTTGCAGTGAGCCAAGATCGCACCATTGCACTCCAGCCTGGGTAACGAGCGAAATTCCATCTCAAAAAAAAAAAAAAAAAAATCCCTACAACTATGAAATGAAGATGACATTTTGCATGTTTATGGTTAGGAAAGTAGATGATTCTTTACATACTTTTCTTTCAAGAGACTAGTGCTTTTTCTCATGAATACTTGAATGCGCTTTACAAGATAATGATATTAACCCTTCGTTGTACTGGCATACATTTATCCTGGTTTGCTGAAGTTTCCTTTTTTTTTTTGAGATGGGTTCTCACTGTCGTCCAGGCTAGGGCACAGCAGCAAAATCAACTGCCTGGCCCAAATGATCCTCCTACCTCAGCCCTCCAAGTAACGGGACCACAGGCATGTTCCACCATACCCAACTAATTTTTAGTATTTCTGTAGAGATAGGGTATCCCTATGTTGCCCAGACTAGTCTCAAACCATGACCTCAAGTGATACTCCCACCTTGGCCTCCCAAAGTGCTGGGATTACAGGCATCAGCTACTGCACCTGGCCTGATGATTTTTCTTAGAGACGAGGTCTAGGTTGCTAAGGTCAGACTCAAACCCTGGGCTCCAGTCCATCCCAGCCTGCAGAGTGGCTGGGCTGCGGGTGTGCCCCACCTGAAGACTGGTTTTTAATTCAACATTCACTTCCACAAGATCATGCATTTGGCTTCCACCCACTATTCTATGAAAAGTATTCCCCGTGAAGTCTCTGGTTCAGGAAAGGCAAATTTGATCAGGCTCTGGGCCCCACCCCTGGCTGCCCTCTCACCGTCCACGCTGCAGGCAGGCCCTACACGCAGCGTGCACCAAGCTCCCTCTACACTGGAAGCTGCTGGTAGTACCTTCCCTGCAGCCCTATCTGACAGGATTACTTCTTCAATATTTACATCTCATAAACACCTGCCTCCTTTCACTTCTTCAGTACCCTCTGCTAACTTACTCAGCTGTTTCTTCTATCAGACAAAGCCTTATGAGCGTGGGAACCCTGTCTTAGCTGACATTAAGCCCTAGCACTAGACCACAACCTGGTGGTGGCTTAAGATGTAAGTCTGGTGCATAAAGTCCCGTTTGTCTTAAAATTCTGAGTCACAGAAAGAGCAGAAGGAAGTTTCATCTCCTCTTCTGAGTACAGCTCAGTCCTAAAAATATCAAACAATACTAAGCTACCGCTGCCACCCAAGGCTGTTCCCTGCAGCCTCCTTGCCCCTCACAGCATCTCCAGCCCCAAACTGGCCTCCGCTGCACACTGTGGGGGACAGGAACCTAAGATGACCCTCCCTGTTCTCACCTGAAGAATTCTGAGAGGCAAGATAGATAAGGCCTATACTGCCTCAAACAAAATGTTAACATACGGACTTCGGGAATGCGTGGTGTGGGCTCGGAAGGAAGTGAGGAGTGTGTTACTGAGAAATGGAGGAAAGGGGACCCTAATTACAGAGTGGCCGAGGATCAGGGACATGGGGTCTGCAGTTATGGGAAATCAGAGTTCACGAGCAGCACACTTGGGATCGTTAGCTGCGAAAACTTCCACACAAAGTCTCGAAGGTGCTGCCTGCAAGAGCGGAAAGAAACAAATTGGTGTAAGAACTGTTAGCAAAAGGAAAAAAAATCTTTAAGCCTCTCCAGAGGGCCAAACGTGCTGAAATGAAATGGCTGCTGAATGCACAGTGAAGGATGAGGGTCAGTCACGCAACCTTTGCTGAAACCTAGGAAAGATCCAAAGTTCACAATAAATGCAGGGTGCACCTCACAGATCTTCTCAACCAAATAGGAGGTGGCTAGGGAGCCTGAGGGCACGTCCAGGGGAGGGTGTCCCGACACCCAGAAATGCACCCAGAAACTCGGCAGTGGCTCACGCTGTGGCGGCCTGAGGCGGGAGGATGGCTTGAAGCTACGAGTTCAAGGTTGCTGTGATCGCACCACTGCACTCCACCCTGGGTGACAGAGAGAGACCCCATATCAATAAATAAATAAAATGAGGTGATTATCCTGGATTATTTGGGCAAGTCTAATCTGCTAACAGTCCTCTAAAATCAGAGCATTATCTCAGGCAGAACTTTTCGGGAAGTCAGAGTCTCTTGCAGCAGAGTGGCCTCAGGTAACAGCAGCAAGGCAGCAGATCTCAGACCCGTCATCACAAAGAGCCGGACTCTGCCCACAACCCAAACAAACCCCCAAACACTCCAGATAAGCACCCAGCCCATGGTTTGGACCTTGTGAGACCCTGAGCAGGAATCCAGCAGACCCTGCCTGGACGTCTGACCTAAAGAGCTGTGAGCTCAGAAAAGGGTATTGATTTTAGCTGCTCAATGTGTGCTAATTCCTTACAACGAGTATAAAACTAATACATACCCTACACAACCCCCTGACCTTCCTCACCAGGTAGGAGGCCCCGCTCTAAGAGAATGCGCTAATGCTCATACAGCTAATTCGCGAACCTCTATGGTAACTATGAGAAGTAAAAACAGCATCAGATGATTTCTTTCCCAATTAAATTTCATAATGAAATTTTTGAGCTGTTAAAATAATACTGTATTTACAAGCAAAGTAATTCCGGTGTTCCTCTTGGGTATAAAAAGGACCACTAAAGTTGATGATATCATATTTAATAAATTAGTTATTTTACAAAACATTTTTGAGGAACAGATTATAGTTAAAGGTAGCTAAAATGTCAGTAAAATGTCTTGCATTGAATTACACTTCACCTAAGTTTCCCGGCAAAGTTATTTCAAAAGGATAATTTGTTACTGAGTAAATGCTAAAACTAGAATTGTTACTTTGAAAATTATTTAAAGGATTCACACTGATTGATTGCCTGGTGATACAAATGATATTGGAATATGACTCTCTAACCAACTTCCTTCAAAATAAAATAAAGCGATCTTGGTTACATTAAACTGACAACATTGAATTTCAGTAACTACTTGAAGACAACATACCTGAAGAAAAACATGACAGTACATGGATCGTATAACTCATACATTTTGTTGAAGTCAGGTACTTCCGTAATATCCACAAGATAAATAACTGCAAAATTTTTAACCTAAAAGGAGATTAAAAAAAAAAAACTGAAAAAACAGACACTTTTGCTTTCATTTTATAAAAGCACACTTGAAAAAACAAAACCAAGAATTTGTGTGAACAGGGTAACTTTTGTTTTGTTTTGTTGAGACAAGGTCTCACTCTGTGGTCCAGACTAGAGTGCAGTGGCATAATCATGGCTCACTGCTGGCTCAAGCCATCCTCCCACCTCAGCCTCCCAAGCAGCTCAGACCACAGGCATGTGCCACCATGCCTGGCTAATTTTTTGTAAAGATGGGGTTTTGCCATGTGTCCCATGCACAAGTGATCATCCCACCTCAGCCTCCCAAAGTGCTGAGATTACAGGAGTAAGCCACCATGCCAGGGAAATTTTCAAACTAATTCAACGTTTTCCCAGTGCAGCAAACATGTGAGAAGATCATGAGACACTACGGGGACCTTGGCCACTGGCTCCTTCTGCCTCATTTTACCATTTCCCAGAATAGTCTAGGAATTAAATATCATTCACGTAACAAGTTATGGAAGTCCTGCAGAAAATGTCCACAGATATATCATTTATGATCTAGCAATAATCATCTACATGAACTTTTAAAATTTGTACTTTTATAAATACATAGTTACACCGGGCACGGTGGCTCACGCCTGTAATCCCAGCACTCTGGGAGGTCGAGGCGGGTGGATCTCGAGGTCAAGAGATCGAGACCATCCTGGTCAACATGGTGAAACCCCGTCTCTACTAAAAATACAAAAATTAGCTGGGCATGGTGGCGCATACCTGTAGTCCCAGCTACTCGAGAGGCTGAGGCAGGAGAACTGCTTGAACCCAGGAGGCGGAGGTTGTGGTGAGCCAAGATCGCGCCATTGTACTCCAGCCTGGGTAACAAGAGTGAAACTCCGTCTCAAAAAAAAAAAAAAACATAGTTACATGCATCTCACAGCTGCTCTAAAATATGTCTGTAGAATCCTGCCATCATTTCCCCTCAGTTAGGCTTGAGCACTTACAAATACTAATAGCACCCCCAATAATGCATATAACTAATTTTCTGTAATTTTTTTAAATTGCAAGTTTATCAGAGATTTAGAAAAGCCAGAAAAATAAAAAGAAAATAAGATCACCTCCAACCCCAACACCCAGGAGTGACTGCTATTATCTTTTTTTGGATGTCTCTGGCTCTGCTGCCCAGGTTGGAATGCAGTGGTGAGATCTTGGCTCGCTGCAATCTGGGTCTCCTGGGCTCAAGCGATCCTCTCATCTCACCCTTCCAAGTAGCTGGGACTATAGGCACGTACCATCACACCTGGCTAATTTTTGTAGAGACAGGGTTTTGCCATTTTGCCCAGACTAGTCTTGAACTCCTAGACTCAGGTGATATGCCTGTCGTGGCCTCCCAAAGTGCTGGGATTACAGGCGTGAGCCACCACATCCGGCAATATTTTTACTATATTCTTTCCCATCTTTCTTATGGATATATTTTTAATAATTTGTTCATACGATTTCTGTTACTACATAGCAAAATGTGGTCATACTGTGATCATACTACAATATTTTGTAGCCTGCTTTAATTATGAGCACTTTCACATACATTACCTACTTTCCAAAAATTCATCCAACGGCTGTGCCATTACTTTACCATTCCATATAGTTTGCATATTTGTGCCTGCCCAAATCGCAGGTTGAAACGTAACTCCCAGTGCTGCAGGTGGGGCCTGGTGGGAGGGGACTGGATCATGGGATGGATTTCTCATGATTGTTGAGCATCATCCTCTTGGTGCTGTCCTCGGGGTAATGAGCTGCAGTTGTTTCAGTGTGGGACATTCCGCCCCAGCTTTCACCATGTGACGTGCCTGTGCCCCTTTGCCTCCGCCATGATTGGAAGGTCCTGAGGCCTCCCAGAAGCAGATGCCAGCACCACGCTTCCTGCACAGCCTGCAGAACTGTGAGCCCATTAAATCTCTTTTCCCATAAGTTATCCGGTCTCATGTATTTCTTTATAGAAATGAGAAGAGCCTCCTACGCCATTCTTCTGTTATTTTCTGATTTTTCATTAACGTCAATTATTTACCTGTGAACATTTTCCCCTTAAATCTGTATACATGCTTCACTATTTCCTAAGGACAAATTCCTAAAATTCTGGAACAAAGAATATGACATTTTAAAGGCTCTTTATAAATACGGACTCAATGCCCTTTAGAAAGCTTGTAGCCACTTACATGTGTTATGAGTTAAACTGTGTCCCCAAAACAGTTGAAGTCCTAAACCTCAGTACTGAGGGCGTGACTTATTTGGAAGCGGTACTGCCAACGTAGTTAGTTAAGGGAAGATGAGGTCACACTGGAGTAGGTGGGCCCTAATCTGCTGTGACTGGCGTCCTTACAGAAAAATGGCCACTTGAAGACATAGGACAGGGGCCCTGGGGGCACCAAGGACTGCAGTGGCGTCTGTAAGCCTAGGCTCTCCAAGATGCTGCTGGCAGCACTGGAAGCTGGGAGCAGCACGAGGACTCTCCCTGGCAGGCTTCAAAGGGACCTGGCCCAGACAACACCGTGATGCTGGACTCCTGGTGTCCAGAACTGTGAGTTTCTGCTGTTTGAAGCCCCTCAGCTTTCGGCGTCCTATCACAGCAATCACAGGAAATCTATGGGATATGCACAACATTTCTCTACATAAAACTAATTCTTAAAACCTGATTGTAACTTACAGGCAAAATAATAATATCTGGGCTTTGCATGAAACATGCAGCCTAATAAAATGAGGGGTAAGTAACACAAGACTAGCCGAACACCGGCAAGTGTTGAAGTGGAACAACAGGGACAGAGGGGTTCACTATATTCTCTACTTTTGGGAATTCTAAAAAAAATTAAGATGGAAATTTAAACCACAGAGCAGGGTGGGGAGGGGGGAATGGGAAAGCTCACACCTCGCAAGGACTCTACTGGCCTTCAGCTTTGGAGAAGAAAACTGTTTCGGAACTCCAGCACACGGCACACTGCATGAGCATGTGCCTCGCCATCCATCTGCTTTCAAAACCCCAAGGTGACGCCTGTGTTAGACATGGGCCCCTCTGGGTGCGGTCACTCTGACAACACCCGTTTCTGAAACTCTGGTTTCCTGCAATGCCCATGGTGAGAATGTGCTGGTCAGGTTGCCAGAACTCAGTTTTATTTTCATGGCAAACTAATAAACTGTCTTGGTTTGACTTAAACAAAACGTACTTCCCTACAGAAGCTAAAATAAATAGACCAATAAAATGTTCACAGGCATTAGGAAAGTCAAAATAATATTAATTTTTATCCTTTCAATACCTTGATCAGGGACAGATGCAATAAACACCAGTAACATTATATTAACTTATGGAATTACCTTGCAAATATTAAATTACTTGAAATATCATTTGGACAGGGTTGTAAATTGTGTACTTAGAAAAAAGAAAGGTCACAACAAATTTTTATCATCCCTTTTCTTCCATGTAAAAAATAGTAAATATTATAACCATCTGCGGTTTTTAATAATTTGTAGGCATTTAATAATCAGAGCGCAGGGCCAGGCGAGGTGGCTCACACCTGTAACCCAGCACTTTGGGAGGCTGAGGCAGGCAGATGACTTGAGGTCAGGAGTTCAAGACCAACCTGGCCAACATGGTGCAACCCTGTCTCTACTAATAACACAAAAATTAGCCGGTGTGGGGGTGCACGCCTGTAATCCCAGCTGCTTGGGAGGCTGAGGCAAGAGAATGGCTTAAACCCAGGATGCGGAGGTTGCAGTGAGCTGAGTTACACCACTGAACTCCAGCCTGGGGGACAGAGACTCCTTCTCAAAATAATAGTAACAACAGCAGCAGCTGCTGCAGCAACAATGTAACAATTAGAGGGCAACTAAGTAAATGTCACTTTAAAGATACAAATGTGAATCTCTTCTAGCCTTCAAGCTCTGGTCCACTGCATCAAACCCAGACAATTCTAACAGAAGCAAACTACCACGTCAAGCTCATGTGTCACGAGAACTTGGATGTCCCCTGATTTCACCACAGGTTTCATGAACATTCGAGAATCCACTATGTATCAGGCACTTCTCACTCATGGATTCTAATTATTTCAACACCTCTAAATAGATGTCACTGATGTTTTAAGTGATGGAATTCTGGCTCAGAAACGTCATGCAACACCTGGCCGCACAGGGAAGGGGCAGAGCTGCGATGGACCCTGTCTGGCTCCAACACCTGAGCTCTGGATGACAGATCCTCCGCCAAGCCTCGACAGAATCAGCCTACCCACAGGAGGCAGGGGCAGTGGCACAGTCACGGGGCGGTGGGGAATAACTGTCTGCAGAGAATTCCACGTGTAAACAGAAAGACACAGGAACAGCAGCCAGGTCTCAGATCCAGCACCGGGGCAAGGAAGCAGAGGTGCAGGACAATGGGGAGGGACATGCAGGTGGACTGGCCCACAGAGGACCTTTTCCACTTGGGGGATTCTGGGCTATGTATGTACTTACTTCTAAGAAAGGAGAGATTGAAGAGTTCAGTTTTGTACACACTGAGTTTGAGAAAACTAAAGGACACCCACAGAAAAAGGCCCTCAGGTAGTGACTGGCCTGAAGCTGGACAAAGGAGTCTGGGCTGGAGAGAGCTACCTTACCGCTGCCACCTGCACCCAGCAATGACCCCAGCCAGGACGGTGGGTGCCAGGAAAGGCCTGGGAGTTAGCACTGAAGCCCACTTTAGAGCTGGGGGCAGGAAAGGGATGCCAGGGAGGCAGCCTCAGAAACGAAGGCAGGAGACTCCAGGGAGCTGTGCCAAGTGCCCCAGAAAGGTCACCAAAGGGGGCTGGACAGGACGGTGACACTGCAGGGGCTGAAGAACTGAGGAACAGAGGACTTCAGTGTGGACAAATTTCAGGAAGCGTGGCTACGGACAGAGAGGGAAGTTGCTGTGGGACTTAGGAGTTGAGATAGGAGAGGCTGGAAGACGCAGGCAGAAGGGAGCTCCCTAGACCCCCACTCCCTTCTTTTCTTGGTAAAATGGCATCTGTGGGGTGACTGGAGAAGCACGAGCTGAGGGCAAACATCAGCAGACAGCCAGCAGCATCTGCGGCAGGATTTCCACAATGACCAAGCACTCGGAGGAGGAGCTGGGGGTGCAGCCACACTGCTCTGCCAAGTCACCCATGACTTCCTCAACAAAGGCTGCTTTTTTTTTTACAGACAGGGTATCACTCTCCCACCCAGGCTGGAGTGCAGTGGCGCATGATCTTGGCTGACTGCAACCTCTGCCTCCCGGCTTCCAGAGATCCTCCTACCTCAGCCTCCCGAGTAGCTGGGACTACAGGCATGTGCCACCATGCCTAGCTTTTCTGTATTTTTAGTAGAGACGAGGTTTCACCATGTTGGCCAGAATGGTCTCGATCTCCTGACCTTGCGATCCACCAGCCTGGCTTCCCAAAGTGCTGGGATTAGAGGCGTGAGCCACCGCGCCCGGCCACTTTCTTTCTCTTTACACAAGTCAGTTATTAAAGTGCTCAGCAGTTCTTCCACATGCCTTTAAGTCCACCTCCAAGTTACAATGAAATAACTACAAAACACACAGCCAAAGGCTGGCAGATGATACCACCAACCACTGTTCTACACTTTCGTACGGATTCCCTCAACCAGCTAAGAAAACACTGGAAATTCTGGAAAAAGTGTTCTGGGGAGTTGATCAGCACAACAAATTTTTGAAGTGTTGATTTTTTACATTTTTAGGTAATTCATTTCAAAGCCATAAAAAAACTGAGAAACTCGATTTCCTAAATTAATATTTGTCCTAATCAGCTCTCACAATAACTCTTTTGCAAACTTAGGTAATAATGCCACTGTTATTACTATGATTACTTCTCTCACATTACTATGTGACAGGAGTACTCTAGAAACCTTTCTATTAATCCCACAACAACCCTGTGAGTTAGGCGCAGGTCTCCCCTTTCCACAGGTGAGAAAAGCTCACACAGTTACAAAGTACCAAGAGCTTAGCTAGAGTCTGCGCCCTCAACCACCACTCAATACTACCCCTCGTGCCTTGCTGCTAGCTACAAGGTTTTTTATCCAGAGACAAAAATCCATAGGAAACACCAAAAATCATCCCGTTTGTTCCTACAAGATTCCTCATCTAGCTGAGTGCTGACTCCCGCTGGTTCAATGGACATGCTGTGATCCTTAACATGACCCTGAAGATAGACCCCCTCAATACGGCACCTATGAAGTTGTATAAACATCTCTCTGCCTCATGCACTTTTTATCACAATGTACCATCATGGACCAGGCATGGTGGCTCACCCTTGTAATCCCAGAATTTTGGTAGGCTGAGGTGAGTGGCTCACTTAAGGCCAGGAATTTGAGACCAGCCTGGCCCACATGGCAAAACCCCGTCTCTACTAAAAATACAAAATTAGCAGGGTGTGGGGGTGGTGCAGGCCTACAGTCCCAGCTACTCGGGAGGCTGAGGGTGCAGTGAGCTGAGACTGTGGCACTGTACTCCAGCCTGGGCAACACAAGACTCTTGCAAAAACAAAAAGAACGAACTATCATGAGTCAGTAATACTACTGAAGAATGTTTTTGTTTTGTTTCATTTTAGAGATGGGATCTCACTCCGTCATCCAGGGTGGAGCGCAATGGCACGATTACAGCTTACTGCAGCCTTGAACTGGGCTCATCTCCCGTCTCAGCTCCTGAGAAGCAGGGATTACAGGCCCGTGTCACAATGCCCAATTCACTCAGGCTATTTTAGACTCTATCAGGCTATTTTAGACTCTATTTGCATGGGCTTTTTTTTTTTTTTTTTTTGAGAGACAGTCTCACTCTCTGTCTCCCAGGCTGGAGTGCAGTGGCATGATCTCGGCTCACTGCAACCTCCACCTGCTGGGTGCAAGTAATTCTCTTACCTCAGCCTCCCGAGTAGCTGGGATTACAGGTGCACACCACCATGCCAGGCTAACTTTTTCTATTTTTTTTTAGTAGAGACAGGGTTCCACTGTGCTGGCCAGGCTGGTCTTGAACTCCTGACCTTGTGATCCACCCGCCTCAGCACCCAAAGTGCTGGGATTACATCTGTGAGCCAGCCTGGCTTGCATGGGCTTTTTAACACAAAAAATAAACGTCCCATTCGGTCTTCTCACCCATCATGAGATTTAGGAACAGTGAACCCCAAAGCACTACTGTGACAAACTGTTCCCACAAAATGGAAAGACAGCTCAAAGGTACACGAATGAAACTGTCTCTCTTCAAAACTGTGCATTAAATCAGCTGCTAAACAAAACACTTTTTTTTTTAGACACAGTCTTGCTCTGTCGCCCAGGCTGGAGAGCAGTGGTGAGATCTCAGCTCACCACAACCTCCGCCTCCTGGGTTCAAGCGATTCTCCTGTCTTGGCCTCCTGAGTAGCTGGGATTACAGGCGTGTGCCACCACACGAGCTAATTTTTGTATTTTTTGTAGTAACAGGGTTTCACCATGTTGGCCAGGCTGGTCTCAAGCTCTTGACATCAGGATCCACCCGCCTCGGCCTCCCAAAATGCTGGGAATACAAGCATGAGCCACTGTACCTGGCCAATCTTTTTTTTTTTTTTTTTTTGGGGGGAGACAGGGTCTCACTCTGTTGCCCAGGCTGGCATGCAGTGGTGCAATCAGAGCTCATCACAGCCTTCAACTCCAGGACTCACATCCTCCTGCCTTGGCCTACCGAGTAGCTGGGAACCCAGGCATGTGCCACCATGCCCAGCTAATGTTTGCATTTTTTGTACAGACAGGGTTTCACCATGTGGCCTGGGCTGGTCTCAAACTGCTGGGCTCAAGGGAACCACCCACCTCGGCCTCCCAAAGCGCTGGGAACACAGGCATGTGACACAGTGCCCAGCTGAAAACTTTATTTTTTATTATCACTTTATCGAATGAATTGCCCCACTCTTATTAGCAAACCCTAGGCACCTGTGAAATCTTTAAAGCATAGCTCTGTTTCCAGACTAATTTTCTTCCTGAAGTTTATAGCTCAACTCTAATCCAGCATGAGGTCAAGGGGGCCCTGCGGAAACAGTAAATCAATACAACACATCTAGGAGAAATCCTTTCAAGTCCCGCCTGAACATTTGCAACTTTTACTCACTTTAAAACAGCTGGGATATCCAGACAGGACTCATAACAAAATAAGGAAGACTCCTCATTGTCTGCCATTTCTGCACAGGGGAATTTTTAAATAGTTATATTGTTCTTTATACTAAAATATTACGTTTCAAAAATTCCTGTTGAGCTCATCCAAAAAGTGCGTCCAGAATTAGGAAGTCATGTTTTACCCATATACTAAGAAAAACACAAAACACGAATAGTCTTTTCATGCATTTCAGGTTTGCACCTTTTTTTTGGAGACAGGGTCTCACTCCTGTTGCCCAGGCTGGAGTTCAATGGTGTAATCATGGCTCACTGCAGCCTTGATTTCCCTGGGCTCAGGTGATTCTCCCACCTCAGCCTCCCAAGTAGTTAGGGCTACAGGCACATGCCACCACACCTGGCTAATTTTTTGTACTTTCAATAGAGAAGGGATTTCACCATATTGTCCAGGCTGGTCTCAAGTTCCTGGGTTCAAGTGATCTGCCCACACTCTTCTCCCAAACTGCTGGGATTACAGGGGTGAACCACCACGCCTCGACTAGGTTTGAGCTTTTAATAACTACACTATAATATTTGCATTAAAAATTAATAAAGTAACCCAAATTTTTGCACAAAAACAAAATCAGACTATTTTAAAAGACCAAAAAAAAAAAAAAAACCCAAAGTGAGCTCATTATGTGTGTGTCCACTATGTATGGCCACTAATGATACAGTGATTCGGTCTGTAACAGACATAGAAGAACTGGGGGAAAAAAGCAAAGCTGCCGAAGACCCTAAACACTTACATTAACACCTAAAATCTGTTTCCTAGCTAGGAGCATCTTGCTGAGCTCTGCTTGGATGTGATGAGACAAAGGCCCTCACATCTCCAGCTGTCCTAGCCTCAAGCTGCCAGGCAGCAGGATCGGAACCCCGCCTGATGTTTATGCCACCACTTGCAAGGTAGAACAGTGAGAGATTCTAGAACTCATAACTCAGTCAATACCACAGTGATTTACCTATCGGGAAACTACTCTTAGTCAATTCTTGGCTGGACTGCCAGTATCTGCCCTTGTCCACTACAGCTCAAGCAATGAAAAACTGATGCCGTCGCACTGCCTCACTCATCATCTCTAATCCCTGGCTGGCAGGACCCCCAGTGTGTGAGAAGTGCTGCTCTCCTGAGTCCCCTAGGTACCTCCTCCAGTGGTCAGCGTCCTGGTGTCCAAGAGGAAGAGGCTGGGAGACGGCTGGTAATCAAAGCACTCCTCCTCTGTCCATGACCCCCACTGAAGGGTTTCTCAGTGTGTGGTTCAAGGTCAAGTCATATCGGAATTCCCTGAGGGGCTTCCTTAAAAAGCCATTTCTGGACTTCAGCCATACCCACAGAAGCAGAATCTCTGATGCATTTTAGTAAGACGCCAAGAAATTCTTGTGATAACTAAAATATACCAACAGCTCCTAGCATCATGCCTCTCCTACTAAATAAGAAATAGCAAAAATTAATAAATGGCAGTCCAGATAGTCTTTCCTTTCCTGAATATAAAATATATCCTTATATCTGTTATTCTTTACTCAAAGGAGTTATTTTAACCCAGCCTACTTTAGCATTTGTGAAATAAAAGATAGCTTCAATGTTACTTTTACTCTTCATTAAAAAGAATAACCTCTCAAATTACTTATGAAAAATTAATATGGCAGATATTTTACTAACACCCTAATATTTTTTGTCCTTTGCCCTATTGCTACAGCTGCAAAACCCAAATAAAAGTCATCCTAAAATTGCTATGAGGAACCATTGAAAAAGAATGAAACCTCTGGTTATAAAATAGTGTCCTAGAAGTTTTATCGTCAGCAAGCAAGTGCCAAGGCCACTCAGTGTACTAATATTAGAAATTCAGGGCCGTGGCTATCGCCTGTAATCCCAGCACTTTGGGAGGCCGAGGCAGGTGGATGACAAGGTCAGGAGTTCAAGACCAGCCTAGCCAACATCGTGAAACCCCAACTGCACTAAAAACACAAAAATTTGCTAGGCATGGTGGGTCGTGCCTGTCATCTCAGCTCCTCAGGAGGCTGAGGCAGGAGAATTGCTTGAACCGGGACTCGGGAGGCGGAGGTTGCAGTGAGCCGAGATGGCGCCACAGGATTCCAGCCTGGACTACAGAGCAAGACTCCTCCGTCTCAAAAATAATAATTCAGAAAACTAGTTCTAACAAAGCATATTTGTATTTTCTCCTGTTTTTTGCCTCTTAATCACTCTAAGCTATAAATCACACGACTTACAAAATCGTGGTGGGATAAAACACCAATAGAAAAACAGATTTCTTATGCTATTAACATCCAAGTTCTGCTTTATATATACAACAAATAAATAAGGCACCAAAAAATGACATCCTTTTAAAGTAAGGATCCGCACTCTCAATAAAATCTGCAAGTGTATTTTGTTCACTGCACTCTTAAGTTTGGGAAAAACGCCTTATCAACAGAAATTAATTCATTTGAGGAAAGGGGTATCATAAACCCTTTAAAATGTGAAAAAACATAGGCGCTCCCCCCAGACAAAGGCGGGAAACGCCGGCACAGTCCCGGGGAGCGCTCGCCCGACGCCTGCGCCACCGCCCCTCCTCGGGGAACGGCTCGCGCCCCCACGGGAGGCCAGCAGGGCGGAGGCGCGGCGGGCAGGGCGGGAGGCGCGGCGCGCTACCTTCTCGGCGATGCTGTACAGGACCTCGTCCATCTTCATGCACGTGGGGTCCCAGTCGTGACCGAAGCGGATGACGACCACGCGGTCCTCCTCCGAGAGGATGGCCTGGTCCACCTGCCAGCCGTTGTGCAGGTGCGGGAGCATGTACGACATGGCGGCCCGCGCGCTCGCCGCGGCCCAAGGCCGGGCGCCAGGGAGGACCCCGCGCAGTAGGCACAGCCGTCCCTCGCTCCCCGGCCCTAGCAGCCCCGGGGCCCTCGCACTACACCCACTCCGGCCCGTACCAGCAAGCTCCACTGGGACTCCCGCCAGGCGGAACCTCTGTGCGCCCACGCACCGACGCCGTGCGTGCGTCGTCATGCGCGTAGAGGCGCTGTGCGTGCGACGTCATGCGCGTAGAGGCGCCGTGCGTGCCGACGTCATGTGCGTGTAGGCGCCGCGCGAGCGCGTCTTTGGCTGGTGGGAACGCGGTTGGGGCTCTCCAGGTAGGTGTCGGAATGGAGGTTCTTCTCTGGCGTCCAGGCGGCCTGGTGGTCCTGAGAAGCCCGGGCTCGCCGGGCCCTGCCCCGAGGCCGCCGGCCGCTGCCCGGGCTGCCCCCGCGTCACGGATGGGGACGTCTTCAGAGAGGCCCGGAACGGCCGTCGTGGGGCTGGTTTTCTTCCGTTCTGGTGCCTGTTTCGGGTCGTTTGTGCCGTGTGTCAGGGAGACGGTTCACGTGTGTCATTTGTGAAACTTGATCATAAAAGCTGTGTCGTTGTTGCCGTGTCCAGCCGTAGCAGAGTCGGGCGGCGGGATGGGGTGAGCACTGGGCGGGCGGTCCATGAGGAATGTCACCAGCGGGCCGGCTGCGGAGCTACCTCTTGTAACTCCAAACGAGGTTTTCTTTGTCTTTTTTTATAAAGAAAAAATTACTTTTTTTTTTTTTGAGACGGAGTCCCTGTCGCCCAGGCTGGAGTGCAGTGGTGTGATCTTGGCTCACTGCAGCCTCCACCTCCCAGGAGAATCAAGCGACTCTCATGCCTCAGCCTCCCCAGTAGCTGGGACTACAGGCACCAGCCCGGCAAATGTTTTTGTACTTAGTAAGGCGGGGCTTCGAACTCCTGACCTCAAGTGACCCGCCTGCCTCGGGCTCGCAAAGCGCTGAGATTACAGGAGAGAACCGCTGCGCCAGATCTGAAGCCACTTTTTTTTTTCCATAGCTTCGGCACAACCTGCAGCACCTCCAGGCCTGATCTTGCCCTGTGGCTTCGCTCACCAGTCAGAGCTCCCCAAGCCCTTATTAGTGCCAATGAACTTTCTCAAAGAGGAATAAGTTAACATTTCTCTTTTTAAAATAAAACCTCTAACCTCTTTGTTCTTCTGAGAGGGCACTTTGGGTTCATGCTAGAGACTCTCCCTGGCTTGCAAACTGATATTGACAGTAGGACTCTTGTCTACTGTCTAGCCATCCTGTTGTTCCTTTGAATGACAAATTTAAAACAAATCACAGCCGACCGCTGTAGTTCACGCTTGTAATCCCAGCACTTTGGGAGCCTGAGGCCGGCGGATCACCTGTGGTCAGGAGTTAGAGACCAGTCTGGCCAACAGGGGGAAACCCCGTCTTTATTAAAAATAGAAACGTTTAGCTAGACATAGTGGCGCGCCAGCAATCGCAGCTGCTCAGGAGACTGAGGCTGAGGCAGGAGAATCGGTTGAGGTTGCAGTGAGCCGAGATTGCGCCACTTCAGCCTGGGTGACAGAGTGAGACTCCATCTCAAAAAACTCCAAAAAACAAAAACACCACCAACAGAAAAAAAAATCATGCAGATGTTGTGGTGTCTCTCATATGGGCTGTGGCATGGTGAGAACTGCAGTCTGAGGAGCCTGCTGGCCTTGGGATAAAAATGGGTTCCATGTTTGGTTTCCTCTGGGGCAGAGCACCATAAGGTGCTTTGATAATATGCACCCACAGTGTAAATATTAGAATCACAAGTGCAGCTGACTGCCAGATTAAGTTTTTTTTTTTTTTTTTTTAAATAGAGACGAGGTCTTGCTATGTTGCCCAGGCTGGTGTGCAGTGGCTATTCACAGGTGCGATCCCACTACTGATCAGCACGGGAGTTTTGACCTGTGCCATTTCTGACCTGGGCCGGTTCACCCCTCTTTAGGCAACCTAGTGGTCCCCCGCTCCCGGGAGGTCACCATATTGATGCTGAACTTAGTGCAGACACCCCATTGGCCTAGCGCACCACAGTCCAGAACCGGGTTCAAGCGATCCACCTCAGCCTCCGGAGTAGCTGGGACTACTGGCATGTGCCACCGTTCCCGGCCAGATTAAGTTTATTACATAATACAGAATATTTCCCAATTATATATGAAATGCTTTATTGTAATAAGAATTTCAGGTTGGTGGGGTGTTAGAGATCATCTTACTCTCTTTCATTTTATAATTGAGTAAAGCAGAGGCAGAGAACATAAGCGTCGTGGTTGAGGACTCATAAAGATGTGTTCAGGTTCATCTGTGCCTTGTGTAAGTTATCTCAATAAACTTCAGTTTCCTCATCTGTTAGATAGGATGAAGAAACAAAATCCCCTGTACTTCATTGGCACAAGGTACACACTGGAGAAATCTGAGCCCTTATTAAGGTCAGGTTATTGACTTCTAAAAAATTAATTACCGTCATTTTGTTAGTCATACAGTTCAGATACAAACACAGTTGCTTAACACATCACAAGCATTTTATTCACAGAAGGGTTGTTCCAAGCTAAGGTATAAGACTCAAATGTTCCCTGATCATTTATTGAAACTCATTTTTTTATTGTGTTATTTATAACAATATTTATCACCTTAATTTTTAAGGGCATCAAGTACATTCATATTACGCAACCATCACCACTGTCCATCTCCAGATACATCTTTAATAAACATTTTGGTTGAGATCTAATCCGTGTACTATAAAATTTGCCAATCTGAGGTGAAGTGGTTTTTCAGTGTTGTGGAACCAATACCACAATCTAATTTTAGAAGAATGCTGTCACCCCAAAAAAACCCTATACCCATTAACAGTCATTTCCCATTTCCCTCCCATTCCCTAGCCCCTGGCAACCACTAATGTATTTTCTGCCTCTATAGATTTGCCTATTCTAAACATTTCATATAGATGAAAACACAAAATACAGAGTCATTTGTAACTGACCTTTTTCGTTTAACATCATGTTCTCAAGGTTCATATTATAGCAGACATCAGCAGCTAGTTATTTTTATTGCTAATTAATACTTCATTACATAAACAAAACAAAAAAATTTAAAACTATTCTATTCTATGGGTATACTACATTTTATTATCCAACAGTTGATTGACATTTGGGTTGTTCATTTTTTGACTATTATGAGTAGTGCTGCTATGAACATTCATGTACAAGCTTTTGTGTGGACTTAAGTTTTCTTTTTTTTTTTTTTAAAGACGGGGGTTTCACTATGTTGGCTAGGCTGGTCTAGAACTCCTGACCTGGTGATCTACCCGCCCCAGCCTCCCAAAGTGCTGGGATTACAGGCGTGAGCCACCACACCCGGCCTGACTTAAGTTTTCCTGTGGTAACTTTAACATTTTAATGTACTGCCAAATTGTTTTCCAAAGTGGCTACACCATTTTACATTCTCACCAGCAATGTGTGAGGGTTTCAATTTTTCCATATTCTTGCCCATACTTGTTATTCATGTACCTCGTGAACCCCAAAAATCTGAGGCCTCAATTAATTACAAAGTTTATTTTTCCAAGGTTGAGGATGTGCCCGTGACACAGCCTCAGGAAGCCCTGACGACATTTGCCCAAGGTGGTCCGGGCACAGCCCGGTTTTATACCTTTTAGGGAGACACGAGACACGAGTCAGTGTATGTAAGAAGCAGCCTGGTGCAGTCTGGAGAGTCGGGACAACTTGAAGCAAGGGCAGGAAGACTCAAAGCAGGAAAGGGGCTTCTAGGTCACAGACAGGTGAGGGATGAACAGTTGCATTCTTGTGACTTCCTAATCAGCCTTTCCAAAGGAGGCAATCAGATATGCATCTATCTCAGTGAGCAGAGGGATGACTGACTAGAATGGGAGGCAGATTTGCCATGAGCAGTTCCTAGCTGGAAGGGACCCAAGATCTTTTCTTTTCACAACCTTGTATTATGGTCATCCTGGTAGGTATAAAATGATATTATGGTTTTGATTTGCATTTTGCTAACGGTTAGTGATTGTTCCTCAGTGGCCAGGCCAGTACATATCTGTCCCAAAGTCAGAGGAAGCTGAGAGGCCAAAGAAAGAGGCTGGCAAATCTAGTTTCTTAGAGAGAAACATTTAATAGGGACTTAGGAACAGAAACCACATCTGTGTCTCTGGCAGTGGTCAGACAAGATGGTCGATCCCCAGCCGTCACCCCTAGACCCTGGGCTTACATGCCGTGAAAGGAAAATAAATCTTGCAACCCCAAACTCATTAAGCCAAAGGGAGAAGTTAAGCTGGGAACTGGGTCAGGCAAACCCGCCTCCCGCTTTGGGTTCCTGAATAAGATGCCTACAAGATGAAAACCTACATGCCCCCCCCCCCTCCCCCAGCCATAAAGCCCACAGGAAATTGGTAGTGAGCCCTAAGATTTTTTCCCTAAGGTGGTTCTGTTAAAATTTCACCATGGTAATGTGAACTGATAGCTTATCTTTGCAGGTACAGTCACCCCACCACCACCAGATGCAAATGCATATTTGATTGTTCCCTGCCCTGTTTTGTCTATGTTATCTTACATAATGCAGATTCCTCTGCCCCATTTGTCTATGTCATCTTATGTGAAATAATAATAATGCAGATTCACTGAGCCAGACAAAGGCATGAATGACTATTTTTCCCTACCCGCGTCTTGAAAAATGTGTACTTTTCAATATCCCACTCTTTCCCCTTTAAATTTGAAGGCCTTCAAAATCATCTTTGGAGAAAGGCATAGACCTGCCTCCGAAGCACAAGTCCTCACCTTTGGCAAATAAGCTTCCTAAAATGACTGAGTCTGGTCTCATCATTCTTCTCGATTGATAGCTGGTAACCACTAAGGGCACCTGAGTGAAGCCGGCCTGGCCGGCAGCAGCTCTCCTGCTGGTGCTTGGTACTGGTCTCAGCGCCTTGCAGCTGTTATACCCGAGCAAGTAAAGGAATGCAGCACACTCTGAGGTTTGAGTTACGAGTCCTTTATTGCCGGCGACCAAGAGACGGCTAACGCCCAAACTTCTCTCGGCCCCAAAGAGTTAGGTGGTTTTATATGCCCTACTTTGAAAAAGGAGGGGGAACCTAACTGAAGCAATTTTTCTCACAGAAGCAGAGCAAGCAAAAAGTTAAAAGATAAACTAGAAACAGTACCAGGTGCAGGGGCTTAAGCTGTCACAAAAGACATACAACCCCCGTGTATGGACACGGGGGGCTCTGGGTACTTAACATCTGCATTCCCAGGGCTGCTGGTACCCCTTGACTCGGTATCTTATCAGCAAATGCATTCCTGGGTGTGCCTGGTGTCATCCGGCCCCAGCTACACCCTACAGCTACATAGCTAATGGAGGGAAAATAACTGTAAGTGAAGAAGCTAAGATGGAGTTTGTCCAGCTTCTTCAATTAAGGCTGAGTTGGTTAGACCTACACAAAGTACATTAACACATAGCCAAACCAACAGGACAATTTGCTGAAGTCCAGGACCTCTTTATTGCAGGGATCCTGATCTTCCAGTGTTTTTCAGTTGGGGACCAGAGGTTTATTTGCTGTTTTTTTTTTTTTAAAAAAAACCCTCCTTTTTTCCTGGGAGTTTCCACTCGGTTCTATCAAGGGAGGCAGCCTGTCCGCTTCTGCATTGGTGGAGAGCAGTCTTCAGCTTGGGCACTATCCCCAGGTAAGGAAGTGGTTTGGGATATTGCCTTGCAAATTCTTGTTATTTATCTTTTTATGGTGGCGTGCCATGGTAATGGCGGACGCCCCTCCCCCACAGAGCTGGACCGTCCCAGGTTCCGCTGTGCTTGCAGTGAAACTCTCAACCCAGGGCATTTCCAATTGCTGTTTTCTTTTTTGGTGTGTGTAGGGGTGGGACCCGCCGAGCCTGATCACCTGGCTCCCTGCCTCAGAGCCTTTTCTTTTTTTTTTTTAAGTTGAACCGTTGACTCTCTCCCAGGTGTTCAGTCGGCTGCTGAAAAGGCTCCGGGATCTGTGTGATTTCTGTGTGATTTCCTGTGCGGCGACCCACTGCTCTGGCTAAAACAATGGCGCTGCCTGGGAACCTCCTGGCCTGGCTCCCTGTTTCTGTTCCCTATTTAATCAGATGAATGGGCAACTCTGCCTTCCCAGAGCTCCAATCACCAGCTTAAAAGGGCAACCAGACCAGTGTGTTTTGTACAAAGAACCGCCACACCAGGGCGTCAGCAAAATAGCTGCACCGGCCAAAATAGCCACACTGGCAACCCATGGGGCTCCTCCGCCTGGGAATCTCCTGATCTGTGGGCAATAAAGATCCGTCTGGAAATGTGGCGTCCCCTCACCCTTTATGCTTTCACTGGGAGCTGCAATCCTGAGCTGCTCCTAAACCGCCATCTTGGATCTTCCCTCGCTTTTTTCTTCGCAGATTCTTTTTAAATGACTAAAGTTAGCATTAACAACCAGCTGGGGTTAATTTCTGCTTATGCTTAGAATGCTCAGAAATCATATGATTTGTGTGATCATTGTTAGTTTTGCTTAGCTGTTTTCTTGTATGTTTCCGTGTTGGGGTGTGTGTGTGTGTGTGTATCTATTTCAGTCCTTTCCCTATCAGATTTGACCAACTCCAAACCCTCTAGCTTATCAGTGTGGAATTCTCCATTTCAAAGAAATGAGAGTATTTTACTGCCTTCTGGGGCATTCTCAGGCGACTAAGAATCATGTGAGGGTGTCTGTGAGGAAAGCCCCTTAAGACATGCAGCAGTCTGAGCCGGTTTTCCCCTCAGAAGAACATACTTAGAGTCTAATCTCACCTAGTGGATGCATATAATGACCCCTCCCACACCTGAAACCCAACACACTGTGCCAGATAGCAGCAAGGGTGGACTGAACTGGTTCAAGGAAAAATGGGACTGAAAAGCTGGGTCCCCTGGCAGCACACTTTGGGTCTCACACACTTCCCAACGTGGTCGACATCAGGCCTCCATGTGCAAGCCTAGACCCAGGAAGTCTGAAGTCCTGCCTGCCTCAGCTGATCCCCCCCCCACCCCCTGCCTGTGTTTGCCATTGTCCCTGATCTCAAAGAGGAGCTTCTCCCAGACATTAAACTTCTCTCCCCACCCTGCCATCTTAACTGTTCTTATGATAATGTGAATACTCCTCACCCCACTTTGCCATCTTAACTGTTCTTGCTCTGTGAATATCCCTCCGCCCCAGCCTGCCGTCTGAACTACTCTTACGCCTTACCCTGGCTGCCATTGTAACTGAATTTATGGTATTGTATACTTTATGCCTCTACCCCCACCACTGTAACTGATCTTACTCTGTGACACCACTGCCCACCCCAAACCTATAAAACCAATTGCCATCCCATCATCCTTCACTAATGCTCTTTTTGGCCTCAGCCCACCTGCACCCAGGTGAGTGAACAGCCATGGTGCTCACACAAAGCCTGTTTGGAAGATCTCTTTATTAAATGTTTAATATTTAGTACCATTGGACGTGAATAACGTCTGGTGCCAGAAGCCTGGGACGGGAACTCCCATGGGTGATTAGTCCCCTGTTCCAGCTTTCATAAAAGGGATGTACCTACCAACCTGGAGCCATCAGACCAGCCCACACGCACCACTGGCTGTTGTGGTGAGCAGTCTCTCTTTTCTGCTTTCCCATCCTTCTGTCTTTTCCTTTCCACTTCCTCTCCCTTTCGGTTTTATCCTTTTTCCACCACAAAGACAAGGAAAATCAGGTAAACCAGGTTCTTCTGTGTGGTTCAGAACTGGAAAAAAATCTTACCTAGGTCACAGATCCGGGGACCCAGTTTTCCCCAGGGGTTTGACTGCTGTGGAGACGTTCACCCTAGTCACTCGCCCACCAGGCTCATGGCCAATACTGGTTTCAGGCTAATGTAGAGGACGCTCTCTTTGGCCACTCACCAACAAGGAGGTTCAGCCCACACTCCACTAGGGACTCTGTTGAGCGGCTGGGTTACGTGCCCATTTTGCTTGTCGCTGCTGCCCTTGCAGAACCATGGGCAATCGTCTGTTCTCTAACCCTCCCTCCTTTCCACTGGCCTGTGTTCTAAAGAACCTCAAGCCTCTTCAACTGTCTCCTGACCTAACACCCAAATGTTTCATCTTCTTCTGTAACACTGCATGGCCACAATACAAGTTAGACAATGGCTCCAATTGGCAAAAAAATGGCACCTTTGACATCTATCTCTATTTTACAAGATTTAGACAATTTTTGTCGCAACATGGGCAAATGGTCTGAAATTCCCTACTTCTAGGCCGTTCTTTACACACCAGTCCCTCCCTAATCTCTACTCCTCTTCCCTTCTGTCTGCCCCTCCTTCCTCTGCCAGTAACCCAGAATCCCCCTTGTCCATCAGCCCTTCTGACCTTTCTCCTCCCTGCCTGTCTGAACCAGGCCCTCATCCAGGACCTAACCCCACCCCCAGAGCCTTCCTCCTCCTCCTCCTCTGCCTACAACCCACTTCCTCATGCCTCGTCCTCTCCCCACCTCATACGCGGCCCAGCTTACAGTTATTCCCTCAGCTGACTCCTCTGCCTCTGCTCAACAATCCCCCTTCCAGAGGTGGCTGGAGCCAAAGGCATAGTTAGGGTGCATGTTCCTTCCCTTTACCTGATCTTTCCCAAATTGGCCAGCAGTTAGGCTCCTTTTCATCAGATCTTCAGATACTTCACCCAGTCCTATAATCTCACCTGGAGTGATTAAATATCATCCTTACTTCTACTCTTATCCCTGAAGAATTCTTAATATGCATTTTATCACCCAATCAACCCCAACATTACAAAAAGGCACAGAAATTAGAATCTGGTCCTCAAACCCCACAACAGGAATTAAGCGACCTCACCTTCAAGGTGTTCAGTAACGGAAAATCAGCCCGGCGGCAGCGCATCTCAGAACTGCAGATGCTGCCTCCTCTGTAAGACAAACCGCAGCCACACCACTGGCTCACAAAGACTTCAAGGTGCCCAGACTGCAGCGTGTCCAGCCGCCCCTCCCAGACCTTGCTTCAAGTGTCCGAAACGTGGCCACTGGGCCAAGGAATGCCCGTAGCCCAGGATTCCTCCTGAGCCCTGCCCCTTCTGTGCAGGGCCCCCACAGAAAGTCGACTGTCTGACTCACGTAGCTGCTCTCAGAGCTCCAATCCTCGGCTTGGCGGCTAAAGACTAAGGCTGCCGGAGCATCTCGGAAGCCTCCCGAACCTTCACAGACGCTGAACGTCAGGTAACTGTTAGAGAGGAGGGCAAGTCCATCCCCTTCTTAATCAGCACGGAGGCACCCACCCCACACTGCCTTCTTTTCACGGACCTGTCTCCTTGGCCTCCATAACTGTAGTGGGACTTGACGGCAAGGCCTCCAGGCCTCTCACAACTCCCCAGGTCGGGTGTCAGTCAGGAGAGCACTCCTCTCCACATTCTTTCCTAATCATCCCCGCGTGTCCAGTTCCCATTAGGCTGGGATATGCTAGAAAAATTGTCTGCCTCCTTCACTGTTCCTGGGCTACAGCCACGCCTCATTGCCACCCTCCTCCCTAAACCTGCACCTCCCTCAATAGCTGCCCTATGTCCCCAACCTTAACCCTAGGGTGTAAAACACCGCCTTCCCTTCCGTTGCTACAAGTCACTCACCCCTTCTGATCCCCTTGGAACGTAACCACCCTTACCCTGCCCAGCCCCGTACCCCATCCCACAACAGGCTTTAAAAGGCATAAAGCCTGTTATCACCTGTTTATTGCAACATGGCCTTTTAATTCACTCTCCTGCTTCTTCAGCATCTATACTCAAAGGGGTATAGTGTATCCCCTTCCAAAGCCCAAATTTCTTCCCCTATCCTGGCTGTTCAAAACACCGGACAAATTCTACAGGCTAGTCCAAGACCTCTGCCTCATCAATCAGATCATACCTGATGATCTGTCAGATCAGACCATCCGCCTGGTTGTTCCAAACCCATACCCCCTTCCACAACTCACTGTTCTGTTCTTGACCTCAAAAACGCTTTTTCTAAAGCCCAGATTTCCTCCCCATCTGTTACAATCTTTCACCAGCATACAGGAGCTCTCCCTGCCAACGGTATCTAGTTACTTTCCCAAACCCCAACCCCATCCAGTAAACAACAGCTGCTCTCCTTCCTAGGCGTTGTAGGATACTTTTGCCTCTGGATACCAGGTTTTTGCCCCTGTAACCAAACCACTTTATAAACCTGCAAAAGGAAACTTAGCTAACCCCATAAACCAAAAAAAAGTCCCCCATTCTTCTTTCAGTCGCTAAAAAAGGCCTTAGAGACAGCCCCTACCCTGGCACTCTCCAACTCCTCTCAACCCTTCTCTAGCTACACAGCAGAAATAAAAGGCTGTGCCATCAGAATTCTTACACAGGAGCCAGGCCCACAGCCTGTAGCCTTTTTATCCAAACAACTTGACCTCACAGTCCTGGGCTGGCCCTCATGACCATGCAAGGCAGCAGCTGCGGCCCTGATGCTCTTAGAATCCCTCAGTCACAGGCTCCCACTTACCCTCTAGCTCTCACAGCCTCCATAGTGTTCTCTTTGCACCGCACACACTTACGTTCAGCCCCTCGCCTTCTCCAGCTTTATGTAGTTGCCCCTCTGCTCAAACCACACCTCAGAAAGTCTCTGCTTCTATGAGTTTCTGTCTGACTGTGCCCACATTCACTGCACGCG